CATGGGTGTCGTGTGCTGCCATCTCAGCTTCAGGGTTCCGTCCCTGACTCAATCTCTCCTCCTCCAAGCCTCCTTGCCGGCTCATCGTCCTCCTGAGGGCGCAGATCCGCTGCCATAGCCTGCTTGCTGGGGATCCTTGTTGGCCAGCATTTCCTCCTTCATCTTGGACTCTCGAAGCTGCTCCGCTCCCACAGTCCCCGCTTCGCTGGACCCATCCCCAATCACGATCACATCCGGTTGGTCCATCGCCTCCTTCTCCTCGACCTTCTTGGTGATCTCCTCCTGGGCTGCCAACACACGTCGAGCTTGATTTCCCAGAATCTCCGTCCTCCGCAGGGCTTCTTGTGCTAGGGCCTCCGCTCTCTCGGCTCGCTGCCGCAACTCCAGATTCTCGGCCTCCAGAATCACATGACTCTCCAAGGTCTCGATCTGGGTTGGCCTCGTCGGCCCTGCTGCTGCTTTGGCGGCTGCCCGAGTTGAGTGCTCCTGCGCGATCTGCGACGTGGTCTTCCCGTCGGCTCGCCCAGTAGGACATGTTGATGGCCATCGTCATGCACTCCCATCTGGAGTAGTTTTCCTTTGACTTCCATGAGCTTCCCATTGACCATCTGCTCCGCGCATGCCGCTGGTTGCGCCGTCTGCTGAAGTTCCTCCAGGGCTAAGCGGTTCCGGACCCATGTGGCGTCTCTCCCCATGGGCCTTGTCCTTGGACAGGTATGCGGTTCTCACTCCGCACTTGGCGCAATTCACCCAAGTGGCAAATTGGTTGCTCCTCTATCGTCCCTCCTTGTGCATGGGTATCCGGTGTGTCGGGGATCGTCGCATGCTGAGGCTGCTCGGGAGGTCATATCCAGGCTTGGAGACGTTCCTGAGATCAGTGACTCTTTGGGCCAGATGCTTCAACCGGTGCTGCACATCAGAGCTCTGCAAACACGATTGCACTGCAAAAGACTCATGCTCCACTGAAATCATCAAAACATGTGCTCCCGTGTCTTGCACGCTATCTGGGCGCGCCTGCTTTGGAGAAGTCCCGTCGATGTTGTAGATTGGAGCCTCGGCCAGGTCGATCGTCAAATGTCCGGACTGCAATGCTCACAAGGTCATGTAGGGAGTCCAAACCAATGGCATTCTTGGTTGCCCCAGTGTCCAAGATCGCACGAGTGGGTGCTCTGCCATGTGATGCATGGTCGTCCCACTGGGCCAAAACACCAGAAATGTTGTATGTCTTCCCCTTGCCGAATGAACCCTTGTTGAAACCCTTGCCTTTGCTATTGCCCTTGAAGCCAGCTCCTTTCCCGGGTCCAGCGCCCTTGCCCTTGAAACTCTGCCCTTTTCCAGCTCCAATGCTCTTGCCCTTGGGGGCAAAGCGATCAGGGCACATTTGACAACCATGTCCACGCATGCCGCAAATGAAGCATGGTCCAAAAGAACTCTTGCTTCCTCCTTTGGAGGTCGGTGAGCTCGGTTTGGATGATCCTCCTGATTTGCCCTTGCCCGAATTGGACTCGGGCGCGTATACCCCCGCGCAGCTCGAACTCGACGAACCGCCTCTCTGGCTTCCTTCAACGTTCTGTTCGCCTCGTTGGCGATCGCAAAGGCCTCCGACAGTTGCGACTCCTCCGGATCCCCTGAAGCCTCATCTGGCAGAACCTCTTCTTCATTTGCCCAACCATCGTTCCACCAGCTTCACTCCAGTCGTCTGCACTCCAGGAAGTTGCACCTGTCTCATCGGACGTAGTCCAATCATGCCATGCTGGCCAATCTGACCACCAGAGGTCGTCCACATACTCCTCAAATCCTTCTCCATCGCCCCATTCCGGTTCCATGGAATTGTCGGTCCACCAGATCCGCTTAGTTCCAGCTGTTGATCGCTCTGTTGTCTCATCATTGTACAATGTTCTCAATGCTCGACGTACCAACAGAAAACTTGTAGAGTTTGCCGTTTGTACCAAAACATTCTGTCGTTCATGACCCGATAGTCGACATGCACGCAACAAGCGATATCCTCTCAACTCGTCTTCAAAGAAATCTCCAGTTGCAGCTGTTGATGATCCCTGAACCATTCCAGTGTGAATCGGTCCTGCTGATGGAAATGTCTGAGTGCCAGACTCACGACCTCGCTCTTCGCCAGCACGGTTTCCGGACATTGGGCTCCTTGAAGGCGTCGACGGTGGATCAACTCGAACCGTTGTTCGGGAGGTCAGAAAATCCTGTCCAGGAGTCATCCTATCCAGTCGGGCGCGGGCCAGCGACTGTTGTAGCTCTGTGAACAGCTCTTCTTCCCTCACAATGAGTTCGGCCACCGTTTCCCGATCTGTCCTCTTGAGATTGCTCCACTTGTCCAACCTGCTAAAACTGTCAGGAACTGGTAATCTCTGAAGGGGGCTCTCTCTGAGCAGCGCCAAAAACTGGGTCAGTCAGTCATCGTGATCGGATTGGTCGGGGTCAGCATACCGGACAATTGACTTGGCAGCGCCGGTGAGCCTACTCCACAGACGTGCCACCACCAGCTTTCTCTCGCTCTCCTTGGTCCCCTTGGAGTGCCACTTACAAGCAGTCACATAGGATTCGAAAGTCCCTGGGGAGCCATCCCATGAAGGAACAGAATCGCGGTCCTCTGGCATCACCTTGCCGGGGTATTGTTAATGAGCCCCCCGGCTGGCTCCTACCACGCGCAACGAGTTTACCACCGAACGGTAACTAGCAAACAGCGCACCTCAAGCGCCTATTTCCGCTAAGCGAACGAGTTCTCGAGCCCACCCTCGAACTGCGGACAGCATGACCTTACGTGTACATGTCCTTCCATGGCTTGGTGGTCTCATGGGTGCTTTCAATTATCGACATCGCGGACGCATGTCCACCCCACACCGTGGGCGCGTTCATCCGTGTGTTCTTCCCGACCGGGACACAGACTGACAGACTGAGATAGACGAGACAGACAGACCGATCGAGACAGACAGACCGAGACATACAATTGACATGGTGCGTGAGTTCGTCCGTGTGTCCTGCCCGGAGACAGACACACTGACAGACCGAGACAGGCAACACACACTCCGTGCGGGCGGCTTCGAGCGCGAAGCGATGTGAATTTTCGAACCACAATGAATACAATGTAGCGGGATGTAGGGAAACCGAAGGAATAATGCGTCCACACAAGCGTGAGGTGCTCACTGAATTTTGTGGGCTCATGTCATTTCAAGTGTCCCTAGGTTGGTTGTCGGTAATGCCTTTGCCGATTCCGGCTGGTTTCCTGTGGCTGTAGTCGTAGCAGCCCCCGTGGAAGCCTGTGTCAGTTCCACCTGAGGGTGCTAGGGCTAGGGTCGGCGTTTTCATTGGCTCTGCGATTCCTGGTGAGTGCCCATTTTTTGGGGCAACTTTTTTCGTTTTTTATCACTGAAATTGAGTGTGTGTATATATATAGGTTTTTGATGCGCACGATGTGCCAGAAGCTGTCTTCCACTGCGCGCGGTTTTTGATTAGTTTGGCGAGGTGCGTTGGGCGGGTTTCTCTTGGTTTAAGTTTTTCTGCGTCAAAATGCGTTATATGACTAAAGATTTATGGCGTCTTATGGTTTGGGAGTAGCCGGCGGGTACTCCTTGCTCCTGAGCGCGCTACCATCGCAAGAAAACAAAGGAAACAATCATGCCCGGAACACGAGCTAGGACTTGGCGACAAAGCCACAAGTACACCACAGCAAAAAAAATGTACACAATGAAAGCGCCAATAATGGAAAACAATGGAAAACAACATGAGTAGAAACTTGTGGACTTCCTTCTGCTTTGATCCCTGGTGCTTCCGACGCCGTTTTGGCTGCCAAGGCCAACGGGTGGAGCCAAAGTGGCTGGCGCATGTGTTTGGTGTGACCTAACACCCACCCACCACCACAACTCCTAACTCATGCTTCTGCATGGGTGCGCTCATGCTCTGATTTCAGCTCCTTTCCCTATCCTTGGGCTGATGAGAAAGGAGTTGTTACCCAGCTGCCACCGCAGTCGTTTCCTGATGAGTAAGGATTTATTGATTTTGACGTGTCTCCGTTAACTCCTTTGTCACTTGGAGTCCTTCCATGAATTCATCGCCCTCTCCAAGGTGGATTCTGGTGGCCACTTGTTTGCTATTCTCTCTCGAGATCCGAGCATGTTCAGGCTTGCCTTCTGATTCTTGTGTGTCTGCCTGTTTGTTGACAAGGCGACGCTGTGTTCAGTGTCTGTTCTTGTCGGTGGGGTCTTGTTGTCTAATGTTGTCTAATGTTGTCTAGTTGACGACCTCGGATCACAACTTTGTGGAGCTTCATCGCTGCGTCTGCGGGGCTTCCCTCTTTTTGGGTTCCCAACCATGCTAGTCATGGCACTTTCTCAGACTCACTGGGAACGCAGCACTAGAAGAACAAAAAAATTGAAGTCGTGTCATTGAATATGACTGACAGACTGACTGACTGACTGACTGACTGACTGACTGACTGACAGACAGACAGACAGACAGGCAGCCAGGCAGCCAGGCAGCCAGGCAGCCAGGCAGCCAGGCAGCCAGGCAGCCAGGCAGCCAGGCAGGCAGACAGGCAGACAGGCAGACAGGCAGACAGGGAGACAGGCAGACAGCCAAACAGGCAGACAGGCAGACAGGCAGACAGGCAGACAGGCAGACAGACAGATAGGCAGACACGCAGACAGGCAGACAGGCAGACGCAGATCGGCAGATGGGCAAATAGCAGACAGGCAGACAGGCAGA